CATTCCTGTAGGTCTAACTAAAATCCTTTCTCTATATTTTACATCTGCATTAGCATTCATTTTACATATTCACTTAGGTGTGTGGGCACTAGAGTGCCATGGTACCTTATGCTACAGCTCATGTGTTGAGACAGTGGCCAACTTTTGGGTTCAGTTCTCTCCTACAAGTCCCAGGGATTGAACTCAGTTTATCAGACTTGGCAGCAAGGACCTTTCACCTGCTGAGCCATTTCACCAGTCCTATTTTAGATATATTTTTAATACCCCTGCTTATTAACAACAAATTAAAAATAAGATACTTAAGTGTCATCCAATATTAAGATAATTTAACTGTTTATTCTTACTGTAATTCTAAAACATTGTATCAAAAATACATATTAATAAAAACTCATTAGAGTTAAATTAAATAAGGGCTAGAGTGACTGCTGAAAAGTATGTACACTGCCATAAGGACTTGGTTTTGAATCTCTCTCATGGGAAAAAAAAAGGGGTGAATGTGATGGAATCTTGAGTTAAAACATGCTTTATCAACATTTTCACTGTATTAATCTTTACATTTAAAAAAAACTATATTTGTATAGGAAATGAAAGTTGAAGCAGCTACGCCATAACAACTTACTAAATAAACATATACTTGTGAAAGTATAATGTATTACATCCTCTGGAAATACACATGGAAACAGTAAACACAGTTAGGCTCTAAGATAATGTATATGCAGAGTGTCTGAAGTCCTATGCAGTGCAGTGTGGAGTTACTGAACAACTCCAATAAGCTCTGTTTTACAAAACCGTGAAATAAAAGCAAACTTCTCTACATTTCAGTAATTCTGGAATAATTCATATTATAAGCCAATGAAGTCACTATAACACCATTATTTATCACCCCAAAGGCCCAAAGTCAAGAAGGCATTTTACAGAATTTTGCCTAAAATAGAGACAACTGGACTGTAGATTTTGTGCACATGCTGGAGACAGAAGCCAGGAACTCACACATCCTAGGAGAGACCTCTGCATCCCCAGCCCTGCACTTTCGTCTTTCAATTTACTTTTCAGTGCTTACTAAACAATAAAGGAAAAATCAGTGAGATTTTGATTCTGGTAGGTGTTAAGTCTACCAGGTGTTGCTAGTAATGGCTTCTAAGACTGAAAAATTTTCATCTGTAACTGATATTTTCAGAAACTTTATTATCTCTCTGGGCGTGGTGTTGCACACCTTTAATCCCAGCCCTTGTGAGGCAGAGGCAGATGGACCGCTTTATTTAAACTCAAGGTCAGCCCAGTGGTCTACATAGTGAGTTCCAGGACAGCTGGGGCTACAGGACCACCTTGTCTCAAAAAGACCAAAAAAGAGGAAAAAGAAAAAAAAACCCTCATTGTCTACAAATTAGGTAACTTCAAATCATTTTGTGCCACAATTTCAAAAGGGTTGGGAATTCTCAATTTAAGAAATTAAAGATGGCTGGAAAGATCTGTGGTTAAAGTGACTGGCTGGTTTCCAAGGAGACCCAGTTCAGTTCCCAGCACCCACATGGTGGTTAACAATCCTCTCTGCAACTCCAGTTCCAGGGGATCCCACACCCTCTTCTGACCTTCATGGGCACTGCAGGACCCGGTGCACTTGTACAGATGCAGGCATAACACTTCTACACATAAAATAAAAATAAATACATAAAAAGAAATTAAGGACTTATGACAGAATGCATGAAATCCGTTGTGTGTGGGGGGGGCACTATGGAGGAGTTTGGATGGGGAAGGGAACTAAATTTGATTAAGATCTATTATATGAAATGCACAAAAGGTCAATAAAAATATGCATTAAAATTAAAGACTCAGGAGACTTTAGAATATTAAATAGGTAAAACCTAAGACATCGTATCTTCACTTAAAGGTATCCACATTGATCAATATTAGTTCTCATTTACGGACCAACTAATGCCATTTAATTCTCACGTATCTGCCAGTAATATTCCTACTGCAAAATATGAATCAGGGTAATTTACCTGTTACAGTTCTGGTTAAAGGAGTCACAGAGCCACAAAACTAACTCAGGTCTATTTAATTAGCATCAAGTCCCTAGAAGCGACAACCATATAGAATCAACCATTTACATATATACACATACATACACACATATATGTCATACACACAGTATTAGCTTCCGGCTTAAACAGCAACATTACCATCTGAACGCAGCATGACAATTGCGGAACATGAGGAAACCTACACGCATGGCATTTTTAGATTCTTGGAATAAAGTTGAATTAACTTCAACACAAAACACCTTTTCTCAGCCAGAGCCGCATTAAGACGGCATTAGAATTTATCACGTGAGCTTCTGAGGTGTAAGAGGCTTTAACTACAAAACACATTCAAAGTTTCTATATTCTTTTTTCCTCCATGGAAATACTATTCCTAGAGAACGAAGAGGGTACAGGAGCCCAAGACGACTGGGAGAACTCATTAAATCCGGATCTGAAGGGCTCTACCGCAAACCTCACCGCCCGCGAAGAGGCCAGAGAGAGATCTAGGCGTGGGTGTGGGCTGGAGGACATGCGTCCAAACGCTCGGACGACAGACGCGAATAAAGGGTTCGTTCGGAGGGGAAGGGGCAAGAATTCATTTTCGCCACTCACCTCTCCCGGCTGTGGACAGAAACCTGAGCCTGGGGAAGGCTCATCTTCTCGCGTTACCGACCCCTGGGCCTCTCCGGGTCGCCGGGGCCGTAGCGTCGCTGGAGTCTCCCTCCCCCACCTGTGCACCGCGGCCTCCCCTCCCCCTCCCGCTCCGGCCCACGACCACGCGCTCTGGCCCGCAGCCTCCAGGGCCCCCGCAGGCTGCGGCTGCTCCGCGCTACCTGCCGCCAGGCCTTCCCGGGACTCAGCCCCCTAAGCCGGCAGGGACTACGGAAGGCCGGCGACCCGGCGCCCCCCGAGCCCCGCCGCTCCCGCCCCCGCCCTCCCCGGCCGCGTACCGTCTCCTCCGGGTCGATGTCGATCTTGAAGGTCTGCTGCTGGAGGGTCTTCAGGGTGACCTGCATGGTGTCTGCGCCGGGTGCTGGCCGCCCCAGGGTCGCCCGCGCTCCTCGCGCTCTCGGGAGGAAGGCGGTGGGGGTTGGGGGCTTGTCACATTCGCCGCGCCGAGCCTCTCTCTCGGTCTCTCTCCCTCCCGGGCTCCGTGTCCCCGGGCTGCGCCACCGCCCCCGCGGCCTTCCCCGACAGTTTCGCCCTCGATGCTGCCTCACGCGACGGTCGCCGCGTCCGCAGGAGGCGCGAGAGGCTCCCAACAGCCGCAGAGAATCCGCTACCTCACCACAGGATGGTGGCCGCCATCACCGTGACTCGCAGAGACGTGCCCCCTCCCCCACCAGAAAAACCCGGCGGATGGGGCCCGGCCCGGGCGATCTGCGCAGGCGCGGGGTGCGGCGCCTCAGTGCGCAGGCGCCAGCAGGAACTCCGCCCGGGAATTGGGGGCGGGGCGGCGGGAGGCCCTGGAATGTCGCCGGATATGCGCAGGCTCAGTTCGTCGCCGGCGGGGTTGGGAAGGCCTGGTCGCTTCTCCCCGCCGGCGGTGGTTCCGCCTTTTCCCAAGCTCCGCCTGGCGGCGCGAGTTGCGCAATCTGTAGCTGGGGAAGAGCTACGTGGAGACCTGATTGAGAGGTTCGATGCGGAGCCGAGGTCCGGGGACCTAGAGGGCGGTAGAAGGGCGGAGCTTGGCGGGCCAGCCTCCGTGCGGTGCCGCCTGCCGAGCCTCCTCAACGCCGGCTGCTTTAATCCTGAGACTCAGACGCCATCCGCGCAGTTCCTGCTTGAGAGCTCTGCGTTGCCTCACCAGATGTGGGATCTCCGGCCTACGTCCTAGAATGATGGATATAAGTCGGAGACTAAGTTGCGTCACGCTCCTGGGCCGACCGCCTTGTTTCTATCGCAGCTGGAGAGCAAGGCCCAGTTTTTGGTGCTGGATCCCTAAGTCCCTGCCTCCCACCGCGTCGCCTTGCCCTCCCCGGGCCCGGGATTGTTGGTGACGCATAGGCAGCTGCCCTCCCTTTTCTCTCCAAGGGCCTTTCTTTGCGCTTGCCCCTTCCTCATCTTTGCTCAGATGTCGCCGCCTTCTCGGTGAAGTCCACCCTGGCTATCCTGACTTAAAGTCGCAGCTTCTCCAGCTTCTATTCCCCTGTTCTGTTTTTATCTGTATCGTTTATCGCTTGGTGACTATAGAATGTGCGTGTTTATCAGATGTATCATCTGTTCCCTTTAAACCCCAGACAGAAGCTGCACGAAGGCATGGGTTTGGTTTTGTTTCTGGTATATCGCTAGCATCTACGAAGTGTGCCTAGCATATTGCAGGCACAGGATAGGTGTTTAGAGGAATAGGTCGGCGTGCTTCCGGTTCCTTAGCGGTAAAAATGGAGATAACGTCACTCAGCTCGTTGATGATTGGAAAGAGTAGGATGATGCATGTAGAATCTTAGAAACATGATGAACAGTCCATACTAGTTAGTTTTAGTAGTATGTCCATTTACAGATGAGAAATCTGAAGTGCAGAGATGTCGAATAATAAGTGCAGAGTCACCAGAATAGTAAATGGTATCATAGATGCTTGACTGTATGCTGCTTCTTAATAGGGCATTGTGCCATTTTATACTTAAAGATGGTGATGTATTTAAAAGAAAAAAAAAGCAGTTAAGTAAGCCCTGCGTGATGGCGCATGCCTTTATTTAATCCTAGCACTCAGGGAAGCAGAGGCAGGCAGATCTCTGAGTGATCGAGACCAACCTGGTCTATATAGTGAGTTTCAGACCACCTGGGGATGCAGGAAGACCCTGTCTCAAAAACCAAAAATAACTGGGGCTGGAGAAATGGTGTAGCGGTTAAGAGCACTGCTGCTCTTCCTGGGGACCCAGGTTTGGTTCCCAATAACCACATGTGGCTAACAACTGTTAACTAACTCCAGTTCCAGGGGATCTGATGTCTTCTTCAGACCTCCTCAGGCATTGCACTACACAGGTGCACTTACATACATGCAAACAATATACTCTTACACATAAAATAATAAAATATTAAAACAAAACAATGAAACTAAATAAAAAAGCAGTGACAACACAGATCAGGTGGAACCATGAAGATTTGTAAGTGTGGCCAATTACAAATCACCCTGCTGGGCCAGCATCCTCAAGGGTACAGTGTCACTACTCAGATTTCCATGAATTCTAGAAGCTTGAATATCATTCTTTCATGGAACTTTCCCTGACCAGCCTCCCTCTCCACTGACCTGGTGTCTATCTACCTGCATTGTGATCAAATATCTAATTCTCTGCCTCTCTCTTCTTGGGTCTTAGTTACCAGGTGATCTCATCTTGGCCCTTGTTCCGAAATACCTACAGCTAGGATTTCTCCCTTTAGCTGTAGAGTTAGCTGATAGTCTAAGCAATATTTTCATTTTCAGTATAACAAGGCTCTGAAAAATAAGGTGGGCAAAGGTAGAAACTGGCTTCCCCGTGGACTCCCCTCCCTACAAACCTTTCCTCTGCTAGTATTCCCTGTTCTTAGTTCAGGACATCACTATCGAGGTACTCAGCCCAAACTCCAGTCATCATCCCTGAGCCCCTTCTCCCCCACCTCCACCTTCCTAACCACTATATCCAAACCATTGTCAAATCCTAGGAATTGTGTTCTCCAGTCTTAACCCCAAATTTAGCCATTTTCCACCATTTCTACTGCTATAACCATCATCTTTCACCTGCCTCCTAATTACTCTCCAATTCCAGTTTTCCCCCCCTCCCCGTCCCAAAAGTCCAGCACCCAGTGTTAAGCCAGGATTTTAATTTTTGTTGTTGCTTAAGACAGGGTCTCACCATATGCCCCAAGCTAGACTGGAACTTGCAATTCTCCCATCTCAGTCTTCATGTACTCAGAGTAGAAGTGTATGCCACTATTCCTGGTTCAAAGTTGTCTTTTTAAAACCGTAAGTCAGGTCCGTCACATTTATGTTAGACTTCCATTGACTACTCTCCAGTCCTGGAGGCTTCACCCACCCTGATGACCTGAAGTAGTTCTGATCATACGCTGTATGATGATATGCAAGACTGAGGCAAGTGGAGTTTGAGCTCCAGGCCAGCCTGGGCTATACAGCAAGACTGTCTCATAAGCAAAAAAGTAAAAATGAACAGCGTAGTGGGATTAGCTTTATGGCCTCTTAATAATACTTCACAATGGGAATTAAATGTCAGCATGAGAATCTTTTTCAGGCATATTCAAATTATATCTAAACCATGGCCTTGTCAGGGATGCCCTAGGTCTTGAAACAAACCTCATGTGATACCGGGAATCTAAAATTACACTGCAGAAAAAAAGGAAAATCAATGTGAAGCAAAATTGGAGTTTATTAAGAAAATGTTTAGAAACCATAGAAATGACTCAGCAGTGAAGAGCACTGGCTGCTCTTGTAGAGGACCCAGGTTCAGTTTCCAGCATACACATGGTTGCTAACAACTATCATAACTCCAGTTCCAGGGAATCCAACACCCTCTTCTAGCCTCTGCGGGCACTATGCACATGTGGTACACTTATACACATGTAAGCAAAAACGGTCATAAAAATTTTAGGGAAGCACAGGAGAGAGAGAAAGAGAGGAAGAGAAAAAGAAAGATACTTTTATAGTACTGAAGGTTGAACCTATGGCTGGTGTAAGTTTGGCAAGCACTCTACCACTGAGCTCCAACCCATGCTAGGTAAAGGCTTTCCAGTGTGCATACCATCAGGTTATATACACCTCAGCAACCCCTCAGTTATCTCGGTAAGTAAGCTCAATAAATTCATTGGTTCCACAGTAAAACTTTAATGAAACATCAGCTTGACACTAGAACCTTAAAAAGGAATAAGCATTGCTTAACATCCCTGGGAAAAGAAGTTTCTATGACCCAGTGTGTATACCCTCAGGTCATATATACACCTCAGCAACCCCTCAGTTATCTCGGTAAGTAAGCTCAATAAATTCATTGGTTCCACAGTAAAACTTTAATGAAACATCAGCTTGACACTAGAACCTTAAAAAGGAATAAGCATTGCTTAACATCCCTGGGAAAAGAAGTTTCACAACTGAAGGAAAATTTATTTGTTAGTGCTATTATGTCACATAATTATTAAAAGAAAAAAGAAAATAAGACTGTAAAAGATGTTAAAAGGATATGGGAATGGAAATATTTTCCAGAATAGACAGAAAAAATGAGAAAGCCTAAGCAAGTGATGAAGGTCTGTTTAGGTTTGTTATATATAAAGGATGAGACAAAAATAATATACACATAATCTTAAAATTTCTATGGTTATAGTTTAGTCAACTAAGGAACAAAATGTAAGTCTAGTCAGTGTTTATCTGAGAATACTTGGTTCTTTACCCAAGCCTTATCTACATAGCACATGATAATTAAAAGTATCAGACTGGTAGAACTAACCTTATTGAATGTTTAACAGCCATACTTTAAGGTCTATACTAATGTGATCAGAGGGACTTAAAGGACAGTTTTTGCGCCTTGCCCTCCAAGTTCGACCAAGTTCCAGGGGCTCTGGAACATCTCTCAAAATGTCCTGTAAATGTGGTGAGTCACCTGTCCTCTTGTTCAGGGAGGCCATGGAGACCCCCAGAAGATGGTCTTGAACCAGCGTCCAGTCTATACAGAGGAGGGTCAACTCAGAGGAAACATCTCATTCATGCTTCCAAGTGAAGCCAGAAATGGTTGAACAGGACCTTTGACTTATCCTCACATAGATGGAACTGATAAAAGAAAGGAGCCAGGAGCTCCTCCAAAGCCCATGTGACCCTGAGGAACAGATCCTCAAATGACCTTAAGTATAAAAATAAATTGATTTATTTGGGCCAACTGTATGGTCTTAAACACCCAAAAGGAAAGTATAACCAAAGA